ACGATGTCAAAACATTAACATCTGCAGTGCAAACCACCTTTGAAAAAGTCATATAAGAACTTACTAAAAGCAAAATCGTAAAAATAATATGACATTTGGATTAGATGATTAGAGGAACAACAGCAGACAACTAAGGAGGATCGTATAAGTGCAGAAAAAATGGATGCCCTGAAAATATTAACATTCCTTTCTCCTCAGTCAACGTTGATCACAAATATCAGGCGTTTGGGAAATTTGATAAGGATAGACCACAACCCACACCGCTTCAAGTCACCTTAGGAAATAGTGATCAAATTCTAGAAATACTTAAAAAAATTACCAACTTGAAGAAATCTGATTTTATAAATATTTCAGTATCTTCAGACCCCAACTAACACAACCGAAGGAGGACGCGTTCTACTTGCCGTCAAAAATACTTTTCAATTTGAACCAGTCGATTTCAGCAACATTGTTTCATCAACACCTGGCATTGATATAGTTGGTGGTAAAATGCTGTTCATAAAATTTTCCACATAATCCGCATGTGGGAAACGCTTTTGGGAAACATTTCTCCACTCCAGTGTATCCACTTTGCCTGATTCCGACTTAGCCAATCCTTTACCGGAATATGTCAATTTGCCCGCCATCAGTTTCAATGGCATGACAAAAAAATCATGTTATTCAGTCATTCAAATAACTCGAGAATAAATTAATCGTGGATCCAGATCAAATACCGAGCTTCCTAGTTGAGGATTGTATTATCTTACTGTCACAATCTTTGGCATATATTTTCAATTCAATGATCGGAACAAACATATCTAACACATGGAAACTTGCAAGGATTTCACAAACACTCAAAAAAGGCGATTCGACACTAATCAAAAATTATAGACATATTTCTGTGATTTGTAATTTTGAAACACTACAAAGGGTATGTTATCTATTGAACAGCACGGTTTTGTTAATACAAAATCTTGTGTAACAAACCTCTTTTGTATGAATCAATATGTCTGCGAAATCTTGGACCAGAGAAGTCGAATAGATATTGGTTATATGGATAGGTATACAAAAAACTTTCGACAGAATAGACCTGAAACTTTCATTACACAAGCTTAGATTTTAGGATTCACTCCTAAACTATGTAAAAAAAAACTAATTAATAGTTTATTGTATGATTTTCACTATAAAGGGTTTTCCAAAAATGCGACACGTGTTTCGCTATACAATAGCTTTCTCAAGCATAAACTGAAAGTTACTTCTAGATTACAACCATTTTATACTCTAACCTATTACCTACTCGTCTGTCTAATGACTATGTATGGTTTCAGTTTTTCACATGATGGCTTTTCCTACCTTGGATACAATATATAGGTTTGATATTGAGTTAAGTTATTCAGTTGAAGACATTATTTCAATATATTTGAAGGAAAAAATATCAAATCTGATATATAAAAATGGATGTTTGTTGGTTGGTTGGTAAGTGATAAACTTCTACATCGCTCAACCGATCGTGATGAAACTTGACGTGTATAAGTAATTTTTCATAGAGAAGGTTTAGGCTATCATTTTTTCTGTAACTCGCCACTAGATGGCGCTGTAGAACAATTTTTTTGAAAGCACTGTTCTATAACGCTGCGCACGCCTAAGTTCGTTGATTCTGATTCTGTCAAAACATTGGAACAGCAGCGATACACCAACATAGTACTAGTATTTATTAAAATCAATATAATAAGGACAGCTTATATGGAGTCAGAAGAAATGAAAGTAATGCTGGCATCAAAAAAAACGAATGTGTATGCCTTACAAGAAAAACACATTTTCTGTGATAAATTTATGGTTCCCAGTGTGAATATTCATTATTCATTCAACCATTTTGTCAGATTTAGAGTTTTCACGCTTTTCTACCACAAACAAAAAAAATTCATAATAAATAATGGTGAACATGCACCTTAAATTTTTTAAGGTGACTGAGCCCATAACAATGATGTCTTTCTGTTTATTAGTTTCACAATCTCAGACATTTCTTACTCAACATTATATTTTGGAGCCTCCAAATTCATGTTGGGTCATATAAAAGATTCTTAACAACATCCCCAAAATGTTTATTTCCAAAAACAAAATATATCAGTAAAGCTTGGTCTTGTATTGTTAATTCGAGACTGATAACATGGCTTTATTACATAACAATATCAATAAATTTATGTATAGTATATCAGTTATTATTGATCAACCCATTTTATATTACATGTGCAATAATAATCTCCTTCAGCGCTAAGTCTATAGATACAAGATACATTCTTTATACCCTAACTACGATTTTAGTTTAAATTTTATTCGATAAAAACGATAAAATATTAATACTTTCGATTACAGTCACAAAAATGTCCAATAAAATATTGGATGTGCTACGAGATTTCGAGTTTGTCATCTTATAGAATAGAGCAATACCAAGCGAAAAATATAACAGATCACCACTACTTGAAATATCGTGATGAACCGTTTTACTTTTCCGCTCGGTTTACGTAACATTAATTAACTAAACAAACAAGATACATAATACTAAACGTATAGAGAATAAAAAGTCCCTCTCACAAAATGACAATAAATAATACATATTAAAAAGTTCCTAATACAATTTCAAACAGTAGAAGTTATTCTAGGTAAATGCAAAAGTATTTGAGATGAATAATACATTAATAAATTAACCAGTCACTAAAAAACAATATTTGAAAAATAAAACATTCTCAAGTTTTTTATTCTAAATATACAATAGTATCCGAGATGTCTGAATTGATTTAAATTTTTACATTCATGTACATGTTTCAAAGCAAAAAATAGACAAATGTCACTCTTGAGAATAGTCCTACTCAAACGACTTGTGGATTGGTTTGTGCTGTTATGATCTATCAACAACTGCCGATCTGGTTCATTTCAAGTTGTAATAAGTGTTTTTATTTTTAAGAACAAAAATGAGGCCTAAAATCTGCACTTTACATACTTTTTCGATAATAGACAAAACAATTCAGAAAATTACTGTTATCATTTTACAAAGCTGTCAAACCCGTACAACACAAATAAAAAAGTAAGTCACATAAACTAGTATGAAGTGGTTTAAAATTATAAAACCAAACTGGCAACTCTTGTGGTTTCTTCAATTTTTACAAATCAACAATAAATTATTGCTTGCTGCTCAATGCTAATTCTAACAGGTGATGAGTGACAGGACCTGAAACATTTGTGGAATTTCTGTGCGTGGAAAGACCGATCAAATTTTTGTTGCGTTTTGATATGATCCAGGAGTACTGCTAACTTCTTTTCATGACAATATTGCTATTGCTACATATTGACAAATTGCACTTATTTATATTTCAACTCAAATTCTATTTGGCAAACTCATCAGGTTGTCAAGATCAAAAGAACTAACAAATATAATTCTGAGCGTTCTAGACATCGCCAATTGGTAACTCATGGTAGATGAATTAAACTAAGTAAGGTTTCTCAAAGATGTCTCATTTCAGAAAAACATGTGAATATTTTTTTAATAAAATGGCTACTACAAAGTAAAAAATTTGAAGTTCAAATGTGACGTCCAGGACCGTCACGACTAGGGATGCATAATGTGCATGGAAAGAAAATAATAATAAGCAACATATTTTCAAAGTGATTCAATTCATGAAGTATGATGCCTAATCTGCGATTTGACATCAACTGGGTTGGTTAAGTTTTTGCCTCACTAGAAACTTGTGATACTTCAAATTATGTAGCCATTTAACTCTATCTCGTGAAGCTTTGAGTGAGGCAAACAGTGAACAATTGTTTTGCGCTGAGTCTGGTAGTGTCATTTTCATAATCTGCATTCTTGCATTAGTTAATGCAGAACCAGTCCTAACAGAAAGCCCAAATGAGACAATTTGCAACACTGCACATGCATGAATTGGGGGAATTAGATCTAATAAATTGATTAAAGACTGGAAAGTGATGCATATTTTTCAGGTTATTTGAATAGATTTGACAAAATCAAACGATGTTGATTTCGTAGAGAAGGACAAGAAACAATATGCTCCTCAAAACATAGCCAACTATGTTTTGAGGAGCACTAGGAGGACTAGACAAGTATGGTTTTTAACACTGCTCTCCAGCTCAAAGTTGCAAATTCATTTTTTTTTTCATTTTTGGTTATGATCCCTGATAACTTTTCAGATTTTTAGTTTCGAATTTCAGCAACGTAAAAAGGTTAGTAATGAAGCAGATGCATATGTGAATTTTATTTCTTTACCTACTTTATTTACCCTTTTGTTTTGCTATAAATAGTGAAAACAAATCTTATATAAATAGGAATGGATTTGATTACTGAACTGAATATACAAGTAAGTTAATGTTTTTGGAGATATGAATTTTTGAAGGTTTGAAAAATCTTAAATTTGGGTATTTTTGACCCATGAAACATATAAAAAAAGAATGAAATACAAAATATCTTGTCCTTTATGTGATAGTTAATATCCTTAATTGAGATTTAAAGAAATTCATTAATCGTTCATTTTGTGCGCTCACAAAAAAGCGTCCCTTACCTTCAAGTATTGCTGTTTCTCTTCGACTCATGCATCGGCCTCTCTGTGTCATGAATCATTATTTATCATTTATCTTAAAAACAATCAACTTTATCAAAATTATTAAAGGGAGCGATGTTATTGTTAATCAAATTATTTCAATTGGCTTGCAATAAGTTTTTTCTGAAATCAATTTTTCAGAAATTATTGAAGCTTGAAGGGAAAGATGTAATTATCCATACATATATTACTTATTTGTTATTAGAATAGAAAGTACTCATACTGTATTGAATAATTTCGTCAAACGAACATTACAGGTGTAGAAATATGAAATAATGAAACAAGATTTGGAAACATGTATTTATTTATTATCAATATCATTTATACAAAGAGCAATCTTGAAAAACTAATTTAATTCTATGTCTGTGTCTACTAATATCTCTTCATTATCTATAATTATATTTCCAAAAAAANCAAATATGAAATAGGTGTTTTTAAGGCAGTGCTCTGCTAGATCCGTGATATGTTGCGGAAAGCTATGATCAGTTCTAATGGTGGCTAGGGCTTCGTTTATGGGTATACTCGGGTAGAGGGATTTTATGTCTAGGCTGGCAAGGATGTCGGTGTCGTTTAGTTTGATGTTTTTAATGATATCCACCAAGTGCTCTGAGTTTCTCACATAAGATTCTGCCAGCTCCGTCTTTGGTTGCATGATTTTGGATAAGTATTTCTCTAGATTTTGTGTCGGTGAGTTGATGGCACTCACTATTGGTCTTAGTGGAACGTCCGTCTTGTGAATTTTTGGAAGGCCATACAACTTCGGGCATTTGCTGGACTTTTCCCGAGGTATGGTTTTCTGCTCGATTTCCCGACCTAGCTTGAAAGACTGGATTTTGGCCTTTGTGGTTTTCTCTAAATATGTCGTCGGGTCTCTGGCTGATGGTTTATAAGAACCGTCTTGGAGGATGTTCATCATCTTTTTCTGATAGTCCGTGGTATTCATGACTACTGTCGCATTGCCTTTGTCTGCCGGTGTTATTATGATGTTCTTGTTATTTTTCAAGTTCTGAAGGGCATCTCTTTCTTTCCTTGGTAAGATGGATTTGGGTGGTTTTTGTGTTTTTAGGACATGTGCAACTTCATGTCGTATATCCTCTGCGGTCTCTGGTGGTATGTCTTGTAAGGTGGCTTCCAAACTGGAGATTATTTCCTCATTTGGGACTGTTTTTGGTGAGAGTGTGATCCGAAATATTATACACTACCGTTTTGGTTTCGGAAGTCGTGTGGCACCAAGTCCCACAAGTTCACTAACACTTACATTTGAATCCCACTGTATGTGTAAATATTATAATAATCATATTTTCTCTGGTGCTGTAACAAAATTTTCAACGTCAAATTTTGCATTTGACTTTTCGTTTTTTTTATGTTTGGATTTATATGCCATTTTTTATATTTTATACTAACTTTGGTGAGTTTTTGTAACATATCTATTGCTGTATAATGTTCACATGATCTTTTGCCATCTCTGGACGAGAAGCGGGCCTCATAATCTCATGATGCAAAACAATCGATTCGTTTAAAAAAATGGTGACATGCTCTGGGGGTACGATAGGGAAATTTAGGTCAAATGTGAATATGTTAAAATGTGTCCCCCTGTATACTATGGTTGACGTGTTTTTTTATTTTTTCTGCAAATCGTTGTACCAAAAGTTATTCAGGGTGGCTCGTTTTAAATGGAATGCGCTGTATGTGTTCATATACGTTGTATATGAATATATGTGAGATTGTATTTATAGAGAAATATCTTTTTTTATGACTTACCTTGGCACAAGTTTCACTTCTCAAGGTTATTATCAGTTTATTCAAAAGTTTATTTGTTATCTCCAATGTTTACATTATAAAATGTCATGAGTAAACTTATATTATCATTATTATTAAAAGTCTATGAAACAAAATCTCAATTGTGAATTATTTCTAGCGACGCAACTCACCATCGGAAGATCGCGATCACCACCATGATGTTGGAAATGAAGAAAAAATGACTTTCCCCCACCCATGGTGTGTAAGTAACCTATTCTCAACAACGGCGATGCAGTGTGGCCATCACTCAACACTTCAAGAGTTGTGTCTCTGACATTCAATGGATTCTGCGAGGGCTTCTCCCAGTCGGTGTACTCATTCTTCAGGGTGGAAAATATTTCATTCAGGTGATAACTATACGAGTTTCTCACGTACGTCCTCAGAATCCGATCTCGTTTCGTTTCGTTGAATCCGAATTCCAGATCCTGCGCGTTCAGATCCAAATAGGATTCTGTACTGGTCAGGCTGAAGAGGAGGTCTCTTTCTGGAAAATCTGCCATCTCGAAGCCAGCTGACGTGGCAATCGTACTTGAGCTGGAAGTGGATGGAGCACTTGTTGGGTTCACGAGAATAGTTCCATCGGTGAACGGTGCGAATCCTGGAAAAACATAAATCATACTGAAACATTGGAAACATTTCTGGAAGGTTTCCAGTTTTTGTGTGAAGGTGATTGACAATGTTTTATGATGAATTTCATTAGTTCGGACTTCCATTTTCTGATATTATATAAAATAATTTGAAATCCCTGAAAGAACTAATAAAAAAA